CCCCCCGCCCCTGCCCCCGATGTAGGCATGTATGTATAAGGAGTAGAGAATTACACACTGACTGGAAATGTGGCAGAATGCATGTATATCTTTGGGTGTGTTTATGGGTGTATGCCCATGTATACTGGAAAACCATGGCACAGCAACAGAGACATGAGCCTCTCAGAGCAAGGAGTGCTGTGTTTGGGTGAGTCTCTGCATATATAGAAATGGAGAGGCATGACATGAACACTGGGGGTGTGTGTGGGTGCACTTGATAAAGAGAGAAGTTATATATGGTTTTGGAAGACATGGTACAATCACCCTACTCATGTAGATGGGGAGGAATGTGAGTATGGGAGGGGCGGTTATGAAGAAGAGAAATGACAATAATGAGGGGATATGCAAGGGTTTGTAAACGGGCAGAGACAATCATCTGTGTTTATACTGTCACTGAGGGGATATGTACAGGGTGTTGGCACAGAGAGGCAGAGATATAGACAGAGCTATAGCTGTTGGGATGTTGATGACGGGCTGTGGGTCAGTGACAGAACCTATAAGGGAATGACCCCTGTATAGAGTGGTGAGTGCCTGGCACAGTTAATCCTAAAGTGGGGTATTTGTGTTGGGGCTGGGAGGAGATGACTTGTGAATATGGAAAAGCCAGGGTGTTAAAATACAAGGTGCTTCAAAATTTTGTAGAAAAAAATGGAATTAAAGGATAATGGAATTTTTCCATGAATTTCATTGCTCCCTGTATTGGCTTATTTGTCTGTGAATAAAAGGTATAGAAGGATAGGGGGAGTGATACTGGGAACATTCTTAATGGAGGGTTTATATGTAAGTGATGGATGGGGCACTTCCCTTTGTATCTGCATCTAGAGGGAATACAACAATGGAGAGTGGGGAGTTATACAGCAAAGCAAGGCCAGTATGCAATGACCTGGCATTCAAATGGGTAGGAGATCGAGGTCATTCAGGTACTCTGAGGTTTCTCTGGGTTTGGAAAGGATGCTGTGGGAATTCTGAGGCATTCAGACCATCCAGGATATACATATAAGTGTGTGTCTCCATACAGTTGTGGAAGTAGGGGTGTGGATGAGAGAGGTTGGCCAGTGAAACAGCCTAGTCTGAAGATGAGATTTCTGTCTATGTGGGGACAAGTCTGAGGAAGTGGGATGACAAAAGAAGAGAGAAATTAAAATGTCTGTTTATAATTGTGTGCATGAAATATGCATATAGGAACATACAGGGGAAGAAGAACCATAGTATGTGGTGGGCTGTGGAGGGAGTAGGGAGCATTGCGGTCAAGAGGAGCTTCTGAAAATTGATGCAATGAGGAGTGAGACTGGAGATACTCAGGGAGCCAGGGAATGTGGACTAGTTGGGGTGGGTGGGTGGACAGTTGTACTAGTCTGAGAACTTAACTGATCAACCCACTATGACCATGTCCTTTTGCTCCACAGAAGATGTGCGATGGAGCACATTTCCCTTAGGCCAAATGCCAAGCCAGACTGAGGACCCAGCAGAGCTTATGTTGGAGAATTATGACACCATGTATCTTTTGGACCAACCTGTGCTAGAGCAGCGGCTGGAACCCCCAGTGTGCAAAACTAGGTGAGTGCCTATGGCAAGAGGATTTCTCACCCCCTTTTATCCTCTCTGGGAGGGAATAAGAGAAGTAGGCTGACTGGGAAGAGGTAGTAAGGGCCTAAATGAGTGAAGTAAACTATGATCCCTGTTTAGGCCCTTATCATGATTCCCATCCCCAAATAAGGGGAGCCAGTGAGGAAGTCATGCAGTACTGGTGTGTTACCTCTATCAAATTGCATCTGATGCATGTGCGTGTGCACATACATGCATGCACATATGGAGAGGAAGGGTGGTGGCAAGAGCTTTTAACAGATCCTCACTGTCTACTGTCCCTGAAAGGTTAAGAATGGATGCTCTAATTCAGCTTACTTATGTTCCTAAGGATAATACTAAGGCCTCAAAAGGGGAAGGATTTGTCCAAAGCTACACCGAGAGTAATCATTAGGCCTCTCCACACTGTCCAGGTATCTTGTTAACAAGGTCTGTGGAGGGTTCCATGTTCTCCTTCCAAACTTGCTTCTGGATCCCAGGGATCCCTTGGGTCATCAGGGATTCAGGAACCAAGCAACCCTTGCTGAGGTGTTGAGCGGGTAGCACAAAGAAGCCCGTCCAGAGAGCCTGTACTTTGGAATGCTGGGTCATTATGACCAGGAGAATCCTGAGAGGATCAGAGAGAGATCCCTGTGGGACCCTGAAATTAATCTCTTCTCCCGGTGCTGCTTGGCCTACCCACTCCCTGGAAGATGAGTTCATTTTCATCTGGGCATCCAAGGAGAGGGCAACAGAATCCAGGGGCTCTATCAACAAGTTAGGCTGTGGAGCCTGGCTCAGTGGGGCAACAGGCCTTCAGGAGAGGAAAGGAGGCAACTGGAGAATCCACTTGGGCTATAGTTGGTAATGGGTCTATGAGGAAGGCCTCTTTTCCCTTTTCTCCTACTCAATGAGTACCAGAGTATCCAGGATGATGTGTGGGCAGGAGGAGCTGTTAAATGCAGAGCAAGTGGATTGGCCCAGCTCTCACACCCTGTGTAATAGGGAGGCTTACTCTGCTGGAGCAGGACATGTCCACTTTTGCTGTTTGTTCCAATTCCACCTCTTACTTGCCTCTATAGCCTTTCCCATTCCTGGGCCTCAGTTTCCTTCCTTTTTTGGGGGTGCCAAGGACAGCCCAGGGTCCTTTTGGTCACCAAATTCTAAGGTCTTAGAAGAAAGCCATGTTAAAACAGCTACTTTATATATCTTCCTGGGGGTGGGGTGGTACAGGGTCCCCTCCTGAACCTCAGCCTAAACAGTCCTTTTAATCTTATACTGAGCTCTAGATAAATGTCATTTGAAAAGTTTCACTCTTTCTTTTCTTTCTTCGCTCCCTCAACTGAAGGGAGGGCAGAGCCATCCCTGGGGGCCCACCTGATGTGGTTTCTCATATTTGTTCCAATCTCTCAGTAAAGCCAGACAATAGGGTGGACCTTTCCCACAAACATCAAACACCCTTGGTGTCTCCAGAACCTAATCCTGTTTCCTCCTCTTAATTGACCCTTTCCCCACCCCCACCCCCCAACACACTCTCTGCAGCTCTCTGGGACTAAGCTGTGGCGTCGGCAGTGCCAACTGTAGCAATGGCAGCAGCAACTTTGAGGTCCTTCTCTGGAGCCATGGGCAGCTGCATGGACTCAAAACTGGCCTACAGCTCTTCTGATGCAAGCCTTGGTGCAAATGTGCACCCAACCCTGCCATGGCAACAGTCCATTCTGCCATGTGCCTGATGATCCTTGAAACAATCTGAAAGACTGCCTGAATCAGCTCATCTTTCCACTACAGAGGGATTTTAAAATGTGTTTTGGAGTTTTTGTTTTGTGTAGAAACAATAAACAGGCAACTGTAGTTTTGGTGTTTGGGTGTGTGTGAGGTAAGGGTAGGGGGTGTGTGCTGGATCAAATGAATTTAATGTTCCTTTCTTTATTCTGGGGGCTCTATAAACAATGGAATCATAACGGCTTTGACCAAGAGGTAGGTAGTAGATTCTAACCCTTAGTGACTTTATAGAAGTGGTTCTCCACCTTCCTAATGCGACCCTTTAATACAGTTCCTCATGTGGTGACCCCCAACCATAAAATTATTCCTCGCTGCTACTTCATAACTGTAATTTTGCTACTGTTATGAATCGGGCGACCCCTGTGAAAGGGTCGTTCAACCCCCAAAGGGGTTGCAACCCATAGGTTGAAAACCTCTGCCATATGGGATAGAGTAGAACTGCCCCTTTGGGTTTCTGAGGCTCACTCCTTCGGTGGGTAGAAAACCTCATCTTTCTCCCAAGGAGTGGCTGGTGGTTTCAAACTGTTTACCCTGTGGTTAGCAGCCCAAGGCATAACCACTACACCACCAAACTTCCTAAGGTTGGGTCCTAAGGCCCTTAATCCTATTGTCCTGATTGCTCCCAATACCTTCCAGGTTTCACTACCTTTTGTTGATTCCTCAAACCATTTCTATACCCCTCAGCTCTAGCATAGAATCAGCTCACTTGGAAGCATCAGACTCCACAGGATAGAAATTGCCCTTAGATTTCTACAGCTGGAGCTTTAAGCCTCACAATGGAGACCTGCAGGTCTTCTGGCTTCAACCTAGCAAGCTTCTGTCTTATCTCTTGCCTTCACTCACTGAGCACACAGCAGTTGAAAACCAGAAAGAAATCTTGACCTAGAAAAGGTGAGAGTGGATTTCTCTGTGGTGGTCATTGGCGCCAGATACATATCTTAGCTACTCCTACACTATGATAATCCAATTCCCTCATACTCAGTGTCTGTGTCAAACCTGAGCTGCTAAGAAATGAATAAATAAATCATATTTTTACACATCAGAACTTTCACCTCAGTGAGACAGTCACCAATTGCTTTCAGTGCCATAAGGGAATTCCAGTGTGCCATGGGGGATATTGCTAGGGTGATATTTCCAGGATGGTGGTTTGTGGAAGCAGATCAAGTCTGGCTATAGCATCCTCTATTCCTACCCTGAGTAGAATGATTGCTGGGTAAAAGAGAATCACTATTGGGTCATGTTTAGGCCAAGTAAAAGCAAGTGACAGAACCAGGCAATATCTAGCCAAGAAGCTGTTCCCATAAAGTGTGGCTGAGCCAAGAAAGGAGAGCATTGAAATGGCTATAAAAATGCCATGGAGGAATTTAATGGAACTGTCATATAGAGCACTGTCAAGAGTTAACTTGTACACGAAACATTTATGACCATTTTTTGTAGAGAGTTGGCCTAGAAATTTTATCAGGTTTTTAAAGGGTTCAGTGAGCCCAACATATAGAGGCCAGTATTCATTAGGCATGAGCAAAGCAGCAACATGTATTGGTTAATGCAAAGTCAGTTTTCCTCTCACTCTTTCCTCTTGCACAACAGCAGTTGATAAAAATCTTTTAGCATTCTGGAATGTCAACTAATAGCATTCAGGCCACATCTAGTTAAGGGATTACAAATGGGGAGATGGGAGATCAGGCTGCAAGTTGTCAGTTCTCCTCCACTTTCCCAGAGCAAGTCTGATTATATCTATTAGTGTACTGGGGTCCTACAAAAAATTTCTTTTGAAAAATGAGTCTGCTGTTCAAGTTTGGAAATCAGTTCTAGTCCAGTCTCCTCGTTTTATGCATTGAATGGGATCAACATAAGGAGGAAAAGGACTTGCCCAAGGTCACAGAGCAAGTTAATAGCTTGGTATTGATCAGTTTCCTGCAACATTAGTATCACTTGAGTCCTTGTTAAACTCCACCTCTGAACTGAATCAGAAAGGGTGATACAGGTGGGAAGCAATCTGTTTTAACAAACCTTTCAGGTGGTTCTGATGCAGACTAAAATTTGAGAATCACTGTTAAAGAAGAAAGAGCTTTGGTGGTATACTGGATATGTATTGGGCTGCTACCTGCATGGTCAGCAGTTCAAAACCAGCGGCTCCACAGGAGAAAGATGGGGCTTTCTACTCCCATAAAGAGTTACAGTCTTGGAAACTCATAGGGGCAGTTCTACCCTGTCCTATAGGGTTTCTGTGAGTCGGTATCTACTCGATGGCAGTGAGTTTGTTTTTTTTTGTTGGTACAGAGGGAAAAGCTTTTTTTTTTTTAAATTGTTTTATTAGGGGCTCATACAACTCTTATCACAATCCATACATAACATCAGTTGTTTAAAACACATTTGTACATTCATTGCCATCATCATTCTCAAAACATTTGCTCTCCACTTAAGCCCCTGGCATCAGGTCCTCATTTTTTGGGAAAAGTTCAATGACCTGGGTCCTATGCAAGTTTTACCACGTCATAAGAACAACCTTACAGGTTTCCTAATAGAGATCGGATAAAGTTTTTTACCTGGAACAAGAAGGGAGGTGGAACATAAATTATTCAACCACAGTAATTGAGAGTCATTCCTCTGATATTCATTAATGATGAAGAACATAATGCTTTCTTCTAGGAAGTCCTTGTTTTGTTGGGGGAGATTGCATTCAAACAATTATAATACAAAGTGACAAAATGTAAGATAAAGGTTCAAGCACTTGTAGAGCTCACTAGGGTGAAGAGAATAACAATTCTTGGACAACTGAACAAAGATGATGCTGACACTGAGTCTCCAAAGGGAAGAGTTTACTACTCAAAGCAAGGGGTAAGAAGAAGGTAAAAGTCCAGGGGGGTTGCCAGTGAAAGGTCCGGGGTAATTGGAACATGGGTTAAGTGAAGGGTTTAATAGGTCATGAAATCAGAGACATAAATTGGAGAGTAATATGATAACTTGATTTTTCACCTGTGCCTGGGAACAGCATTGGGCAATGACTTGTTCTTTCTTGGAATTTTAACTGTGCTTCCCACTCCCCTACTCTCATACTACCACTGCTCTCTTGAGTTTATTTCATTCCTCCACTCAAGTAATTTCTTCAAGACAGGAACTATTTCTTCCTCTTCTTAGTGGTGACATAGCAGATTACATATTGGGCTGCTAACCACAAGGATAGCAGTTTGAAACTATCAGGCACTTTATGGGAGAAAGCTGAGATTTTCTACTTTGGAAACGGGCAGTTCCATAGAGTCACTGAGAGAATTGACTCAATGGCAGTGAGTGACAAGAACTTGATAGCACATGTATCTAAAGAATGTGAGAGAAAGCAATGAGAGTAAAGAGATGAACACTTGGTCCCATATGGATGAAAAAAAAAAAGGAAAAAAAGGTATTTTCAGATTCACTAATATCTTTTTTCTAAAGTTCTGCTGCAGCCACTCTGGCCACCTCTGCTTTTAAAATGAAACTGACCTGGAGTGATGTAATTAATTATTTAATGTGGCTCTTCCAACTCTTACCAAAAGATCCTTTACTGATGGGTCTGGATAAGAGTAGGTAGGGGAAGACACTGATAGAACTCAGTTGTGTTTAACAGTTAATTATGATTGCCATTCTTCTGGGTATAAAATGAAGTATCTTAGCAGCAAGAAGGGGATTTCACTACTAGCAAAAGAGAAGAGCCACGAGTGGAGCATATCTATTGGACCTTGAGATCCCTGCACATTGATCCTTGACACTAGGACTGGCAGAGGAGGAGCAGCAGCAGAATCGGGAACCAAAACATGAGACTGTATTACACGTTGCAACCCACAGAACATGTAAAGAATGTTTTGGGGCAGGAGGATGGCTTGTGGATGGGATGCCTCTGGCCACTTCATTGAGGAATTTGGGCTTGGCTGACCAACAGGGATAGAGCTGAGCGTCTTCCAGTTGAGGCTTATAGTGAAGCAGAATGGAGTGGTGTGCTCTTTGGGCATTCATTGGAAGCTCTAAAAGAACTTTGGAACATTGCCCAGCAGGACAGAGACTAGGCCAACAGTTCTCAACCTGTGGGTCGTGACCCCTTTGAGGGGTCGACCGACCCTTTCACAGGGGTCGCCCGATTCAACAGCAAAATTACAGTTATGAAGTAGCAATGAGAATAATTTTATGGTTGGGGGTCACCACAACATGAGAAACTGTATTAAAGGGTCGTGGCATTAGGAAGGTTGAGAACCACTGGACTAGGCCAAGAGGCTGCAGGTCAGAGAGATGCCTATCTGTTGGCACAGCAGAGAAGAAGTTGTCCTGACTGAACAATTTAGTCACAATCATTTCTCACCTCAATTTTAACCTGTTAAATTTCATTTAAAAAATTAATTTTTAAGATTAAAAAAAATCACTGCCATTGAGTCAACTCTGACTCAGCAACCCTGTAGGACAGGTGGGAAGTGCCTCTGGGTTTCTGAGACTGTAAACCAGTGGTTCTCAACCTTCCTAATGCTGTGACCCTTTAATACAGTTCCTCATGTTGTGGTGACCCCCCAACCATAATTTTTTTTTGTTGCTACTTCATAACTGTAATTTTGCTACTGTTATGGATTGAGCGACCCCTATGAAAGAGTTGTTTGACCCCCAAAGGAGTTGCAACCCACAGGTTGAGAACCGCTGCTATATTGGAGTAGAAAGCCTCATCTTTTTCCCACAGAGTGACTGGTGGTTTTGAGCTGCAGACCTTTTGGTGAGCAACCCATCACATAACTCACTATGTCACCAAGGTTCCTACTTTGATAATAAACTATAATCATAAGCATTATCTGAGTTCTGTGTGGCCATTGCAGTGAATATAGAGCATAGCCTCAGAGATAAAGTTTGGTGGAAGGGACAGTTGGTATCAGAATAAGGTTAAAAGGGTAGAGGCATATCTGACCTTGTGGGCCTTGGACCTTGGAGTCAGAAGAGGTCAGATGTAGTCCCCATCCTGTTTTGTTTTTTTCCCCTTAGGTAATTTGCATGGGTAGGAGGATACAGAAGAGGCCTCAGGCTGCCTCACTGAGGCAGATACCACTGTGATAAGAACT